CCTTCGGGTTGAAAAAAGTGGGGTACCCAGTCACCCACCACCAGCCCGATACACTCGCCTCCGTACCTCAGCTTTTCAGTGCTTGTGCACGTCTCAATGCTCTTTTCTCTTTCCTTATAGTTGTAGAATTTCCACTCAGCCAGCTTTCCTGTAGTTTTGGGTGATAGATGTTTTGTATTTTAGTTGTAGTTTTTAAATTGTTCTGCAAAGTAGCAGCTTAGGTGTTTACCTATGCCATCTGGGTTTCCCCCTCTGACCTGCAAAGTTTCTGTTGAGAAATCAGCTGACAATTGTACGGATGCTCCCTTTAAGGTGACAAACTTTTTTTCTTGCTGTTTTTAAGATTCTCTTTTTGTCTTTTGCTCTTGGCATTTTAATTATGATGTGTCTTGGTGTGATTCTCTTTGGATTCCTCTTGTTTGGGGTTCTCTGCACTTCCTGGATTTGGAAGTCTATTTCTTTCACCAGGTGGGGGAAGTTTTCTGTCATTATTTCTTCAAATGGGTTTTCAATATCTTGTTCTCCCTCTTCTTCTGGCACCCCTATAATTCAGATATTGATATCTTTTAAGTTGTCCCAGAGGCTCCTTGTACTATCTTCATATTTTTGGATTCTTTTTTCCTTTTGATTTTCCTGTTCGTGTTTTTTTTTTTTTTTTTTTTTTTGCTTCTTTGTATTTCAAACCTTTGACTTGATTCTTGGGAACCTCTAATCTGCTGTTGGATCTCTGTATATTATCCTTCATTTCAGTCAATATATGCTTAATTTCTAATTTGCCCTTTTCATATCCTTGAGAATCTCACTAAATTTCTCAGATGTATCTATTAAGATTCTTGAGTAACCTTATAACTGTGGTTTTGAACTCTATATCCAGTTTGCTTTCCTCCATTTCTTTCATTTGTGACCTGTTCCTTTGTTTCTGCATTTTGGCTACTTCCCTGAATTGATAGAATGGCTTTGTATGCTAGGTGTCCTATAGGGCCTAGTGGCTCAGCCTCCCAGGTCACTTGAGGTGGACACTTTTAGTGCACCCCTTTGTGGGATGTGTGCAGTGTTGTTGTAATCACTGGGAGGAATTGATTTCCAAGCCAATTGACTATGAGGACCAGTTGTGTCTACAATGGGAGAACTTCAGTGCTGGAGACACCCTTATGGGGCAGGACTGGCTTTTATGAGGCTTATGTGCTCACTGAATCTGCGTGTTTTATAGATGTGAAGAGTGGTAATCTGGATGATCTCACTCTGATCATTGGGATCTCCACGGAGGTGCAAAGTCAGCCACTGCCTGAGGCCACCCAACAGGAGCTACAATGAGATCTTCAGATTCCTCCTCTTTGTTTGGGGTTTGGAGATGCCAAGATGAGGCCCAGCTGTTAAGCAATGCAAGCTGCTATCCAGCCTTAGGCCTTCTTTTGGAGGCTCTGGGGCTCTCTGATCCAGCTGAAGTTTGACATGTTTTTAGGTGGAGAAAGGCCAGGAAATTCATATGAAAACACTCTGCACACATCTTGGGTGGGGTTGTAAATTGAGTGGAGCATGGTCTCAGGGAATCATGGGTGAAGCAAAGAGCAATGGCTTCCTGTCAGCCCTAACCCAAAGAAGCCCCCAGCCTCTGTGTCCTGCAGCACTGTGCAGAAACAATGTTTGCTGCAAGCAGCTCTGACAGAAAGCCACCCTCGTGTTCTGACCCAATGTCAGACAGTCCAGTTTCTCCCTGTATGAGTCTGGGTCCCCAGAGTCTCGCCTGGAACGGGAGTTCAGAGCAGTCAGGAGTTTTTATCTCCCTCCCAATTCAAAAAGACAACAGCGTACCCAGCTACCATCCCCTTTCGAGTGTGCCTCCGTACCTCCACACTTCACTTCCGCACCTCCTATGGGACTCAATGCGCTTTTTTCTTTCCTTCCAGTTGTAGAATTTCCACTCAGCCAGCCTTCCCATGGTCCTGGATGATATTTGTTTTGTCTTTTAGTTGTAGTTTTTATGTGGTTGTGTGTGGCAGCAAGTTCAGGTGTTTACCTATGTCGCCATCTTGGTTTTCTCTCTCTCCCCATTTTTGCTGTCTCTTTCTGGCCCTGGGCTACCTGCTTGGTGTGTAAGGGGTTGAGGCATCTCACAGTCCAATGGCCATGGACTCGCTAGTCCCAGGGGCTGGATCTCCCTTGAATTTCATACCTTTTTTGTCTCTGCTCTGAGTTGTAACACATTCTCTCACAGTTCTGGTTCCTCAATTATCCCTTTCTCAGGTTGGTGGGGATGGGTGCCTAGTACCCCTAGTAGTGCTACTCTCTGTGAGAGCCCAGAGCCCTCTGGCATGCAGTTCACTGTGCTCCTGCAGCTTAGGTCCCTCTGGCAAGTGCACTTGTAGTGTGGATCTGTGACCTGTGATTTGGCACACCAGGTCGCACAAGCAGCTCTGACCTGTGCTGTGGGTAGGGCGTGCACCGGTTGACAGCTATCTATCCTGGGGACAGGGTGTATACTAGCAGAAGGCTCTGTCTGTGCTGATCGCAGATCACCCACTGGCACAAGGTTCTGTCTCAGCCAGATGCTATCTCACTCTGGGCTGCAGCTGTCTATGCTAGAGTGGGATGTGTCCCAGCCAAAGGGTCTATCTGTGCTGGCACTGGAGACACTGAGTCTATGCCAAGGCTTGGGCACTTGCCCTGAAGGGCTCTTCCTATGCTGGTGGCTGGGCATGTTCAATCTGTGCCAGAGGTGGGATGCTCACCCTGCAAGGGCTCTGCCTGAGATGGAGGCAGGAGACAAAGATGATGGCATTGTGCACTCAGGTTGTGCCAGAGGCAGGGTGCTGGCCCTGGGTAGGCTTTACCTAAGCTGGCAGTAGAGTGAAAAACTGGTTTGCAGAGCATGCTCAGTCTGCACAAGGGGCAAGGCCCTCACTCAGTGCCCTGTGAGGGTTCTAAGTTGGCTGCAGAGCGTGCTCAGTCAGTGTCAGGGGCAGGGCGCTCACCTGGCTAGGTTCCGTCTGGGCAGGGGTGTAGGACACACTGGGCTGAGGTTCTGTATTGGTATCAGGAATGGAGTGGGGAGTGGGGAACCCATAGCTTGCACTCACAGCATGAGGAACTGAAGCGTGGGATCCTGGGGCGCTGGGTTTGGGCTCTGGTTTGGAGACTCTGCTCCGGAGATCTGGCTGATGTACTCCCACTGAAGTCGTCTGGGACCCACGTCGCGGTACCATGTTGCTCACTGCTGGGGTACGGTGATGGTTCCACGCAGGTTATAGCTGGCAAGCGGCTCCCTGCCCAGGTCCGGGGGTTCTGCCCAAGGTCAGTCCGGATGTTGGTGGGGCAGCACCCCTGGCCTCCTTTAATTCCTTCTACAAGATGATGTGCTTTCCACACCTAAGCCAAACCAGCGTCGGGATGCCCAAGGCGAGCCCAATCTGCCAGTCCCTGGTATTCCTGAGATATCTATATGTCCCTCACTCACCCACACACACACCACATACTTCCCTACATGCTCCTCTCACTGCTTTACTCTGTCACTGTCTCTCCCTGCTGTCCTGTCAGCAGCCATCATAAAGATTCTAATATATAGATCTTAATGTAATAAAATGGTTTGAAATCCAACATTGCAAACAATCTTTAGGAAATTTCTACTTGTTGAGTTTGAGTATGATTTCAAAGAATATCCACAATTATCTAAAAAAGGCATTATTCTCTTCTTCTAATTATAAATTATATGATGCTGGATTTTCTTCATATATTTCAATTAAAACAACATATCGTGACAAACTGAATGCTGAAGCAGATATAAAAATTTACCTGTCCTCTATTAAGCCAGATATTAAGAGATGTGCAAAAATGTAAAACAATTTCACTTATTAATTTTTTGGTTTCTAGAAATATTGTTCATGAAAAATAGTTTATATATTATCATGTAATCAGATTATTATTGTTATTTTTTAATAAATTAGTAATTAAATTTTTGTTTTAATTCTAATATAGTAAATATCGATAGATGCAATGGTGGAACTTGATTTTAAGAAGCCCTAGCCTGTGTGGCTCAATTGGTGGGAGCATCATCCCATGCACCAGATGGTCGTGGGTTCAATTCCTGGTCAGGGCACATACCTAGGTAGTGGGTTCGATTCCAGTCAGGGGGTGTATAGAAGGCAACTAATCGATGTATCTCTTTCATCAATGTTTCTCTCTCTCTTAAATCAATAAAAAAAAATAATAAAAAAGAAGCCTGTGAACAAAATTTAAATGACTGCTATAATAAAGAATATATAATTGGCTTTTTCTAATAGATATAAAAGGTATTGAGGAAAGATTTCTGACTAGACAGCTATGTTTTAAACTATTTTTACATTTTAACTATGTTTTCCTACTTTAAAAATCTGTCAGAACATCTATTTGCCCACCCAACTGCAAATTCCATATAAGCAGAACTAGGTATATCTTGCTATTTACTACCTCTCCTATGACACATAATCTTCACTCAGTAAATGTTTTTTTAATGAAATTTTTTTTAGAATTTTTAAGTAATTCTAAATTCAATGTATGTAAATGCAATACATATAACACATACATGCACATATCTACATTCCTTAAATATTACCAAATATGATGATTTTGCTTCTTTTATAAAAAATCAGTATTCTAAATTTAAGGAATGAAATATTTTTTTCTTTCAAGAACCACTGACCCATAGAGGGATATAACTCAATTAAAATATAACTAAACTTTGTTTCTGAAACAATTTCTTCCTATTCTCTAAATTTAATGACCAGGTCCACAAGATTGTACTTAATAAATATAACAACTTAAAATAGGTTTTACAAGAGAAAAAAAAGGAGGAGCCAGGAAAGGTATGAATATGAGAATAGGAAAAGGAAGAAACAGAGCAAAGGCAAGTGAGATTTCTACATATAATCCTTTTAAAAATTTTCTGACATTCTACAGCAACTTTTACTTGCCCAAATAAATTTAGTCCTTAAACATGTTATTTTATAAAAGCAATGTCTATGTACCTGGCATTTCTTCAGCTCTCGCTTCAATTGGTTAACTCTAATATGCTGTGTTCCTTCTTCCAGGTTTCTAATGCCTTGGCTTCCTCTGAATGAGCTGGGAATTGCCTTCCTGACCTCCTGGGTCATGTTAAACCACTCCTGCAGCTTCTGTTGCTGATTTTGGTTTAGACTGACAGTATCTTTTAACTCCACCAGGAGGCTGAAGGCTTCCTCTACACAATGTTGGTATCCCAGACATTCTCCTTGGAGCTGAGCTACTTGTTCCTCAAGAAAAAGGATTCTGTTATCAGGAGTCCCCTCTCGATGGATCTGGCTGGTTTGGCTAATATTACCAGCCTGCTGACTTCGCAAAGCTTCTCGAAGCAACTTAATCTCAAATTCCATTTCATCTATCCGGTCTGACTCAGGGCTGAAGTTTAAAGTGGGTTTGTTCCTGATGTTGCGTGCTCTATTGGCATATTTGAGAGAATTTAAGGATTCATCAAAATTCGAGGAAGATGGGCTGACACAAGTGATCATGACAGTCTTGGCAGTGCCTCCCAGGGAATCTTTCAGAAGCCGGGTAATTTTAGCATCCCTATATGGAATATGTGAACTCTTTCTGCGTGGGTCTCCAAGGGCACTTATTACATTTCCTAAAGCCAGCAACCCACTGTTGATCTGAATGGATTCTTTGAACCGTTCGCCAGTATTCCCTGTTTTCGTTGCTCTTTCTGATCCAGCCAAATCCACGAAGTGGAACTTTGAGACAATTTGCCGACGGGAAGACCATGGTCCATCTTTAGCTGCCTCTGTATTTTTTTCAACTTGACAAATGCTGATTGTAAAAATTGCATGTGATCTACTGGAGTATTCATTCATTTGGGTGGTACCTGTACGCCTGGCTGCATTCCCCATCTCCAGGAGGCTCAGCACTTCATCTGCACTCTCCACCAGGCATTCCTTGGCCCCGACAATCACTTAAAACAGCAAGGTTTTAAATCAAGTTTTAATCAAAATCCAATACAGTCAAATTAACCACATAACTTTTATTTGCTAGACTGCCCAACTAAGACATTCCCTTTAAAAAAATCAATAGTGCCCTAACTGGTTTGGCTCAGTGGATAAAGCATCGGCCTGGGCTGAAGGGTCCTGGTTTTGATTTCAGTTAAGGGCATATGCCTTGGTTGCAGGCTCCCAGGGGCATGCGGGTGGTAACCAATCAATATGTCTCTCTCACATTGGTACTTCCCTCTGTCTCTCCATCTCTCTTCCTCTATCTCTAAAAATCAAAGGAAAGCCAGGACTGGTTTGGCTCAATGGATAGAGCGTTGGCTTGGGGACTGAAAGGTCCCGGGTTCGATTCCGGTCAAGGGCATGTACCTTGGTTGCGGGCATATCACCAGTGAGGGGTGTGCAAGAGGCAGCTGATCAATGACTCTCTCTCATCGATGTTTCTAACTCTCTCTCTCTCCCCCTTCCTCTGTATAAAATCAATAAAATATATTAATAAATAAATAAATAAATAAATAAATAAAAATCAAAGGAAAAATATCCTCAGATGAGGATTTTTTTTAAAAAAAATCAATAGTATTTCAAACAATATTAATAGCAGCAACATTAATTTTAGAGAATGTCCCAAAGAAACATTTTACAAAGAGTGCTCATTTTGATGTTTAAATTCTAAAAGATATTTACATAATTTTTAATGATCTGGTTTCTCTGGAGTCACACATTATGCTCAGTTCTTTAAAACAACTAACAAGAGAAAAACTCTTGATTTTGGTATTTAATTTGGAGAACCTAGTGGATTATTTTAAAAATAAATTAATTAATTAAATATATAATTCAAAAGAATTAATCAGCCCTAGCCAGGTGGCTCAGTTGGTTGGTGTGTATGTAGTCCCATACACCAAAAGGGTGCAGGTTCAATTGCCAGTCAGGACACATACCCAGGTTTCGGGTTCAGTCCCTGGTCAGGGTGAGAAGTGAGGCAATGGATTGATGTTTCTCTCTCACATCAACGTTTCTTTCTCTCCCTTCTTCTCTCTCTAAAATCAATAAATATATCCTTGGGTGAGGATTAAAAAACAAATAATTAGTAATAGATTCATTTTTTAAAAAATAGTTTCTCTTGAATTTTTTTTACCATTCAAGCTCTCCTTAGGTTTAAGGTAGTTTTTTAAAAATTAATTTTTGATTAAGGTATCACATATTTGTCCTCAACCCCCCATTCCAATCCCCCACTTTGGTTGATCTCTCCCTTTTATTCCCACCCTTCCTTTGAGGTCCAACAATCTGACCCATGGCTCCTTATCTCTGGGTCTGTTCTTGTTCATCAGTCTATGTTAAGGTTTTTTTTCTATATTGTGAAATCACATCTAATGACAGATAAAAATTTTAGTATAAGTAGTTTTTCATTTTAAAAGCAGGTATATGCCCTACATAATATCTAAGTGCAAGATAAACAAATGAAATGGCAATTCAAAACAAGTAGAAAATTTCTATTTCAACAGCAGAATAAGAACCAACAAGTAACCTAAGCTTACTATTACCAACATTATGTTTATATCCAAAATTTTCAAAAAAGAGTTAAGTAAATTTCAGATTTGAATCAAAGCAGCAAAGCTCCTAATTCTGAGCTCGAATTACGATGGTATACTTCCTTTTTAATCATATCCCATCATGCTATTATTTTCTTTGAAAAATAATCATTTTGCTTATATTATTTCCATTACGCCACCTTCTTTAACAAACTGGTTCATTTAAAGTTCTAAAGTACCTCTACTACAGACAGTGCTAAAATATCAGCAATTATAAAATATGATAACTATAAATCATAGCATAAGTTTATATAACTTTTCTAATGTTGGGGTATAGCTAAGTACTAGCTAAGGTTCTCAAGCCCAGCTGCAAATCACCTGGAAGAGAGCTTTATAAAAAAGAAAGTACCTGTGCCCAGGTCCCATCCCAGACTAATTCATTAGAATTTCTGAAAAGTAAAGCCCAGAAACCAGTACTTTAAAAAAATATTTTTTTATTGCTTTCAGAGAGGAAAGGAGCGAGATAGATAGAAACATCAATGATGAGAATTATTGACCAGCTGCTTCCTGCATACTTCACACTGGGGATCAAGCCCGCAACCAGGCATGTGCCCTGACCAGAAAGAAATTCTAGTGACTTTCTGGTTCATAAGTTGACACTCAACCACTGAGCCACATCGGCTTGGCACCAATATTTTTTTAAAAGCTTCAAAGATGATGTTAAGTGTGCAACTTCCAGGTTGGAATCAACCACTGCTTCACACAAAGGACTCAATAAATATGTCAAACAAATGCATGTTGTAAGACATTATGTAAAATATTTGGCATTTTGTCTTAACACTATTTGTTACATCCTTCCAAAATTTTTGCATGATTGATATTAGTCATGGAATATTTTGATCATTAAGTTTAACAGGAGTGACAATGTACCCTTCCATATTGTAAGATGATTTTAAATGTCTTATTTTTGTAATTTAATTTATTTATCTATTTATTGATTTTTTAATATTTTATTGATTTTTTTTACAGAGAGGAAGGGAGAGAGATAGAGAGCTAGAAACGTCATGAGAGAGAAACATTGACCAGCTGCCTCTTGCACATCCCCTACCGGGGATGTGCCTGCAACCAATGTACATGCCCTTGACCGGAATCGAACCTGGGACCTTTCAGTCCGCAGACCGACGCTCTACTGCTGAACCAAACCGGCTTCGGCTGTAATTTTAAATAAAAGGTAAAAAAATTCAATAAATATATTTCATGATACAAAAGCTCAAAACACCAATCTGAATTCTGTCCAGAAAAAAATAACTATACTGAATTATCTAATCTATAAAAGCCAAGGGTCCCAATGGCAGTGGAACAACCAGAATGACTGGTGGCTATGACAGCACTGTGATGGCCAACCCGCCAGATAGGGGACAGGGTCAGCCAGCCAACCACCCACAGCCACTCCCCTGCCAACTCCACCCCTAATCGCCCTCCCCATCCCCACCCCATCACTGAAGGGATTCTAAGTAAGTAAACACTCTCCAGCCTTCATAGGCCAGGAATCTGAATGACAAGTGATCAGGAGGAAAACTGTTCACGGTCTGGACCATCAGTCAGGTGTCCAGGAGAGATGCTCAGCACAACCACCATCTCCCTGTGTTCTCTCTCCACTGCTTATTACCAAAGAGGGCAGCCACATCACATCACAGCCTCTCTTTAGAGGGTTTATCAGCAGGGAACTAAACCACATTGCCTCTCTAAAGACAGGCTTAGAAACGGAAGCTGTAAGTCCCTGACATTAAAGCGCCTTTGAAGCTTCAACTCATCTGAAAGCCAATAGCAAATGTATACACCCTGCAAAGATCTTTGACACTAATAACTCCTTCCCTTCCCCTGCTGGCACCTCCCCCCCCCCCCTCAAGCAGGGGTGGGCAACCAGACCCCTCCCATACACTATTCACACACTGGGCCTCTAGTAATTTCATAAACTACTACGTATGCTTTCTAAAAACAAAAACAATTTCTTCAAATGTCCAGGAATGCCAGAACAGTCTCTAAGAAGACAAGCTTTACTGCCCCCTGCAGGCTGCTATTTGAATAACTATAGCCATCTTACTTTTCTAGCTGCTAAGAAATTCCCCCAAGGAGTGACTCCATCACCAGGACCCTTTATCTCCTGGGAGGTTCTACTACACGTGTTTTTTAGGAGAGGAAGAGATTCAAGAAGTGCCACTTGTTTATAATAACTAAGAGCCCATTGCAGGAAGATTCTGCCACCCTGCCCCACCTCACCCCACCTGCCCCTCCCGCACTTTCCCTCAGGCAGCTGCCTTGCCTTACACTTTTCTTCCCTCTTCCTTATATGCTGTCTTCAGCCTTCACTCTTCCCTCCCTCAGCGTATGCAAATTAACAGCCATCTTTGTTGGGTTAATTTGCCTACTCACTCTGATTGCCTCTGGGTGTAGCGAAGGTATGGTCAATTAGCATTTTTCTCTTTTATTAGTGTAGACTAGAGGCCTGGTACATGAAATTTGTGCATGGGGGTGGGGAGGCAGTCCCTCAGGCCAGCCTGTACCCTCTCCAATCTGGGACCCCCTCAAGGGATGTCCAACTGCTGTTTAGGCCTGATCCTGGTGGGACTGGGCCTAAACGGGAGGTAGGACATACCTCTCACAATCCAAGACTCCTGGCTCCCAACCACTCGCATGCATGCCTGCCTGATTACCTCTAACTGCTTCTGCCTGTCAGCCTGATTACCCCCTAACCACTCCCCTGCCAGCCTAATCGATGCCTAACTGCCCTCACCTGCAGGCTTGGTCACCCCTAACTGCCCTCCCCTACAGGCCTGGTTGGTCCCAACTGCCCTCCCCCCTACTGGCCTGGTCACCCCTAACTGTCCTCCCCTGCAGGCCTGATTGCCCCCCAACTGCTTTCCCTTGCAGGCCTGGTCCCTCCCAACTGCCTTCTGCTGGCGACCATCTTGTGTCCACATGGGAGCAGCCATCCTCTGTATTGGAGTGATGGTTAATTTGCATATTACTTTTATTAGATAGGATAGTGAAAATTTTGAAACAGCCTAAATATCTAACAACGAAACAATAGTTAAATTATTATAATACATTCAGAAGACAAATTACCACATGATCATTAAGAATCACAAGGCTGAAACTATTTAAAGCCATGTGAAAATGCTCACAATACAAATAGTAAGTGAAAAAACAATATGTAATACTATATGTGAAAGATTACAAGTACATTTTTTAAAAAACTTTAGCTGAAACCAGTTTGGCTCAGTGGACAGAGCATCAGCCTGCGGACTGGGGGGTCCCGGGTTCAATTCCAGTCAAGGGCACGTACATTGGTTGCGGGCACAGCCCTAATGGGGGGTGTGCAGGAGGCAACTGATCTATGTCTCTCTCTCATTAATGTTTCTAAGAAAAATCAATATATTTAAAAAAATAACTCTATGTGCATAGAAAAAGAAAACAAATAAGATAAACTATTTTGGGTTCTGGGATCAAACATAATCTTTTATTTTCTTCTTTATACTTTTTTATGTTTTCAAAATATTTTATGTTGAATATTTTTCCTTTCAAATAAAAGAAGCGGAAATTATTCTTCAACATACTTGCATTTTAACCCTCCCCTTCTAATCTTTTCCTATTTCTAAACAAATGGATATTTAATGAGATTCATGGTTGCTAAACACAGAAAAGCAGACTCTGAGAAGCTCAACAAAGGACAGGTAAATGTTAATATGGAGAAGCAAACACATAAACTCTCTACTAAAAAAATAAAATAAGGAAGCACTAGGTATGCTGGGACAAAAAAAAAAAAAAAGGTGAGTTCTAGATCAACCTGGCTGAACAGCAAAGGAAGAAGCCATCCCCTAACTTGGGATAAATGAGAAGTTGAAAAAAGTACAAAAATTAACTTAGACTATTTCTCAGTCTCACTTAAGGTCAGTGTCTGGGGTGGAAGTGGGGCATTTTTAGGAACTAAGTATCTTGAATTACAACTTAATAACATCATCTTGCCTACCAGTTGAACTTCTACTTTTCACCTGGGCAATTTAACTGATATTGTTAATAAAATACTCAATTTTTAAAGTGAAAACAAATTCATTTTGCTTGTATGTCTTTCTAAAGCTTCTTTGGAATGTATCCAGAAACTGAATTAAATCATATATATTTGCTAAAGAAGGCTATCTAGTAAGTAGGCTACTTTACCTGTGTTTCCTTTTTCATCTTCTCGGATATGAAGATCCTTCATAGATGTCTCCAATTCTAGAAGATCTCTTAGTTCTTCCTTATATACTTCTATATAAGAAACTTTTATTTTATAGTCAGTGCTAGGATTTTCTGAGATGTTTTGAAATATTTCTTGGATAGCTCGAGGAATGATACCCTTTTGACCATCTACAACTGAAGCTGAAATTTTAGGGGGGGGAAAAAAGAGAAAAGCACAATGAAACTTAAAATATAAGAAAAGCTACAACATGAAATTGAAAATCAATACATTTATTTTCTTACAATTCTCTATATTATAAATCTTTTAAACCATAATTATAAAATTCATAGTTAAAAGTTTTCACATGCATGCCCTTACTCAAAATTTATTCATGCAGTCATTTCACAAATATTTATTATCTTCTTTTTGCCAGCCAGTATTCTAGGACCCTGGGAACCATTATTGGACAAAACAAAAGAAAAAAAATCCCTGCCCTTGTGGGACTGTACTGAAGATAGACAATAGCAAAAAAAGGTAACTGATAAGTGAATTAAATAGTGTGTTAAAACTGATAGGTATATCCAGATAAAAAAACTGAGCAGGGTAAGAGGGAAAGGATGAGTAGGTGCATCTAAGTCAGAGGTGTTTGCAACATTAGGTAGGAAAGTCACGATGGGAATCATTGAGAAGCTGACATTTAAGCAAAGACTTGAAAGAGGTGGCAGAGGAACCATGTGCGTATCTGAAGGAAGAATAACCGAGGGAGAGAACTACCAGTACAAAGACAATAAACTGATGTGATCCATTAGCAAGAAAGCCAGTGTGGATGAAGCAGAGAGAGTAAGGGGAGAGTTACAGAGGATGAGGTCAGAGAGATGACAGAGCCAGAACATGTAAGTCTGTGTAGACCAAGGCAGACCTTGGGTTTTATTCCGTATGAGAGGATAGTAGTAAGTTGCGATTTAAGGCAGTGTTTTGCAAATACCATAAAAGAATACCATAAAAGGGCAGGAGTGGATGTGAGGAAACCACTTAGAAGACTGTGCAGTAATCTGGGAATCAAGAGGGTTAGGCAGGTAAATTTAATGTGGCTCACAGCAGGGTGGTAGCAGAGAAAGAATGAGAAGTGACCCAATTTGGGATTTATGTTCAAAGGAACATCATTAAGATTCCCTGATAGACTGGATGTGGGATGTGAAAGAAAGCAATGAGTCAAGAATGACTAGCCCTGGTCAGTTTGGTCCCAGGTTTGATTCCAGTCAAGGACATGTGCCTCAGTTGCAGGCTCCTCCCTGGCCTGGGCCCTGGTCAGGACACATGCAGGAGGCAACCGATCAATATGTTTCTCTCACATCGATGTTTCTCTCTTTCCCTCTTTCTCCCACTCCCCCTAAAAATCAATGGAAAAACATCCTCTGGAGAGGATTAACAACAACAGAATGACTCTAAGGTTTTGTCTTGAGCCACTGGAGTTGCCATCAACTAATATGGGTAAGAGTGGGGACTAAATTGGTTTGAGGGGAAAATAGCAGAAGTTCTTTTTTTTTTTTTTTTTAACCAATTAAGCTTGAGGTGTCTGTTAGCATCCAAATGAGATATTTAGTGGACAATTGCAAAGACTAAACAGGCAGTAGTTGGATATTAAGCTAGAGTTCAAGGCAGTAGTCTGGATTGGAGATTTTTAAAAAAATCAAAAGTCAACTACATATAAGTGATATTCAATATCATGAGACTGGATGAGATCAGGCAAAAAAAAGTCATATACCTCTTGTTCTTCACCTCTTCTACAACCCAGAACACAGATCTGCACAACATTATGAATGAACAATACATACTAGGGACTTAGATACTTGTACACCAATGTCCATGGTAGCATTATTCACAATAGCCAAAAAGGGGGAAAACTCAAGTGCCAACCAACACAGGAATGAATAAGCAAAATATGACTTATAGATAAAATGGTATTTTATTCAGTCATAAAAAAGAATAAAGTTCTGATACATGCTACAAGGAGGATGCATTGGAAAGAAGTGAAAGAATCCAGACAGAGGAGGACAAATATTATATGATTCCACCTCTAAGCAATATCTAAAAGATGAAAATTCATAGAGAAAGAAAGTAAATTAGAGGTCACCAGGGGATATTGAAGGGGAATTATTTCTTAATGGGTATGGAGTTTCTATTTGGGATGCTGGGGGGGGAAAAAAAGTAGTGATGGTTACAAAACACTAAGATTATCGTTAGATCACTATAATTTTAAAATGGTTAAAATAGAAAATTTTATGTTATCTACACTAATAAAAGAGAAAGATGCAAATTGACCATACCTTCATGATGCCCACCAGCCAATCAGGAATGAGTATGCAAATTGACCCAACAAAGATTATGGGTAAATTTGCGTGTGCAGGCGCAGAGTGGCCGGGGCAGGATGCCTGCATCATTGTCGTCACCAACAACCCAGGTAACCTGCACAGCCCCAACCACTCCGGGCCTCTGGGCAGCATGGGAAGGCGGAAAGGTAGCTCTGGCCAGAGTGAAGGTGGTGCTATCAGCCAGGGGAAGGAAGGCCCATTCTTGCATGAATCTTTCTGTGTGTGTGTGTGTGTGTGTGTACTTACCATAATTTTTAAAATAGTAAAAAAAAAAAAAAAAGTACAATATAAAATTTAAAATAAATGAAATAAATTGGGACTTAAGGTTAAATAAGTTTATATAGGCCAATTTAGAAACAAACCTATCTACCATGTTCAGCGGAAAATATATTACAAGCTACAAAACACTAGTTTACAAATGAACCTTAAAACCAACTTGTTCCCAAGTTGAAGATTACCAATGTTTAAATTTTTGTCAATAATCATCCTGAAAAAAAGTGAACTTCTATTAAATTGGACTGCCTTTCACCTAACTTAAGGTGTAATACTGCCATCATGTGGCATGTACAGGAAGCTGTAGGTTTTTCAATACAAGGGAGAAAGTGGATTCCTTTTTGACAGCTTCCAGGAACAAGGTAATAGCAATATCTATAAACCAAAGTATAAAAATTCTGTATTAGCCAGTATGTAGAGATGATCATTCCCCACTTCAAAAGATAAAAAAAATCCCACAAAAATTCAAAAGACTTATCAAAAAGCTCAATTATGCCAAAACTGGTTTGGCTAGGTGGATAGAGCGTTGGCCTGTGGACTGAAAGGTCCCAGGTTTGATTCCAGTCAAGGGCATGTACCTTGGTTGCGGGCACATCCCCAGTAGGGAGTGTGCAGGAGGCAGCTGATCAATGTTTCTAACTATCTATCCCTCTCTCTTCCTCTCTGTAACAAATTAATAAAATATATTTTTTTAAAAAGCTCAATTTCAAGTATTTATAATAAAGCTTCAATACGTATTTTGGTGGCCTATAAACCACACTTCAATGTTAGGCTTATATTCCTGAAATAAACTATTTCAGAGAAAGAATTTATAAAATTTATTTACCTCAATAGCCATCATTTAGCTATATATTATATGCTATTTAAATAGTAAATAAATAAAGGTTTTAGAGATTAGGCCTATAAGTTGGCACATCCAAGTTTCTGAAAAATTGGAAAATGATTAGTTTAAATAAAAATTATATTAAAAAATAAGAAATTTTATTCTGTCATAGTACCTAGCATGGTGCCCTAGATACTGCAAATGCTCGATAAATTATTTATTGGATAAAAAAAACCAACATTATTTTCACGATCAATAATTAAATAGCAGACAACTGACCCAGAATTGGGCATTTCATGCGATGAAATAATATTCCCAGAATTGGGAATGTCAATCTGGGAAATTGAAAATGCTCATTGGTTCACAGGTTGATGCTCTATCCACTGAGCCAAACCAGTTAGGAACAAAATTTATTTCTAATGGTGGTCTGTTTCTTCTGATAAAGAACAACTCAGAATAGTTAAAAGTATTTTAGGACAATTTTCTTCCTTAAAGAATTAAAATTAGCCGGGACCGGTTTGGCTCAGTGGATAGAGTGTCGGCCTGCAGACTGAAAGGTCCCAGGTTGGATTCCGGTCAAGGGCATGTACATTGGTTGCAGGCAAATCCCCAGTAGGGGGTGTGCAAGAGGCAGCTGGTGGATGTTTCTCTCTCATCGACGTTTCTAACTCTCTATCCCTCTCTCTTCCTCTCTGTGAAAAATCAATAAAATATATTAAAATTATACTCATGGCCTCTTAAATTAAATATATAGGTATGCCCAGCCAGTGTGGCTTAGTGGTTGATTCCCAGTGAGGATACTTGCGTGAGTTGTGGGCTTGATCCCAGGTGGGGAGCTGTGCAGGAGGCAGCTAATCAATGATTCTCTCTTGTTATTGATGTTTCCATCTCTCTCTTCCTTTCCTTTCCTCTCTGAAATCAATAAAAATATATATTTTTAAAAAACAATATAGCCCCTAGCTCAAGCATGTCAAACTTGCGGCCTATAGGCCGCATGCAGCCCACAATGAAAATTTTTGTGACCCAGCCAATATAATATGTACAAAATGTTTTTGTTTTTAAAAAAAATACATTTTATTGATTTTCACAGAGAGGAAGGGAGAGGGATAAATAGCTAGAAACATCGATGAGAGAGAATCATCGACCAGCTGCCTCCTGCACAACCCCTACCGGAGATGTGTCCGCAACCAATGGGACCTTTCACTCAGACCGACACTCTATCCACTGAGCCAAACCGGTTTCGGCTATGTAAGAAATGTTTTAATAAAGGTTTCATATCTCAATTTTTACAATATCCTATTACATATTAATAATGAACTATAACATTCACTAATGAATGATTATTATAATCGTGTTGCATTCATTTCCCTTACATGCCTTATGCACAGGCACACCATTTCTTTCCACTAATACTAGCAGAGAATATGTTAGCAGCCGGTTTCCACGTCATTAGTGTTCTACTGACTTGTTTGGTGTGTACAACAGGAAATATTTCGCTTTTGGAGAACAAGAAAAATATATTTGTTTGCATTATGCTTATTAATTTATGCAGCTCTTCAGTGTCTGGTAAAATTTTTTATTAGAATGTTCTATTATTTTAGAACATTACTAATTAACAATTACTCATTTATTTTAGCTCTTTGTATTCAGCATGTCTCCATCGAAATAAACCTACATTTCTATGAAAATTAAAGCTTTTAGCTTTTGCAACCTACATAAACTTAAACCTTGTTTATTTGGCCCGTGTTAGCCCTAGTTGCTTTGGCTCAGTGAATAGAGTGTCGGCCTGTGGACTGAAGAGTCCCAGGTTCGATTCTGGTTATGGGCATAGGCTCAGGTTGTGGGCTTGATTCCTAGTGTGGGGTTTGTAGGAGGTAGCCAATCAATGATTCTCTTATCATTGATGTGCTTATCTCTCCCTCCCTCTCCCTTCCTCTCTGAAATCGATAAAAATATATTAAAAAAAACAATATAGTTATATTTATCATCAAGATCTAAACATTTTATACTCTTATTAGCATAAAGCACATACTGAGTCTTTAAGGTGATAAAACATTGGCCAATAAAAAACAAAAACAAAAAACTATAACTTTAAGAAAAATCAAAATAGTAGAAAATCTGAAATTTATTTTATTGTGAGACCCTAAAATAATCTAATATCTTAAATCTCCTATTTCTGTATAACACTAATTCTAAAAAATTGGAGAAGGTAGAGGCATTAGGCACTTAAGGCCCCTCCATTTAATCTTTGGAATGAGGGCTCCCTCAAACCATACAGCCACGCCCAAACCTCCCCCCACCCATCCCTACAGTTAACAAGAGATTTTTCTGAAAGTTACATATTCTACATTTGAGTATGAAAGTAGAAAAAAATATTAAAAGCCATTATACATATAGATAATACTAATGATCACTTTCAACAATGATCTATATGCACAACATTCAAATGCTTGCTTTTAGTATAAAAATACCAATACAATCAACAATCTCAACAGAAGACTTGGCTTTCAATTCCAGCTCTGTCACTTGCCACCTAACTCAGTAAGCCCTTCAGCACTCTGTGGCTGGAGCTCCTCACTCATAAATGAAATTATTTTCAAGGTTCTTTCCAGCTCTTTCACACAGATCAAATGATCACAATGTATACTTAAAATATCTTACAATTTGTCAACTAAACCTCAATAAAGTTGTAACAAACTTTACAACTGGCTAAAAAATGGGGGAGGAAAGACTCTTTAAATTACTTTCCTATAAGTACTGGTTACAGGACTCTTAATATTTATAAGTGGAGTATTAAAAGATGCAAAATCTAGAAAAAAATGCATAATCCCATTATGTTAACTCACGTCTCTCTAATTTAAATTTTGTTCAAAATAACAAAGGGTTGCCAGAGGCACATGGTTTGGGGGTGAGGGTAATGGTTATAAAATAAGTAAGTCCTGAAGTGACTACAGTTAACAATACTATATTGTATATTTAAAAATTGCTAAGATTTCTCATCACAAGAAAAAAAATTGAAACTGTGTGCAGTGATTGATATAAACTCAACTGTGGTAATCACTTTGCAATATAAATTTATATCAAATCATTATGTTGTATATCTTGGACTAATATGTCAATTTATCTCAATAAAATTGGAAAAAATGTCAAAGGTCTAAACACTACACATTGTCTTAAACTTCTTTCCTCAAACAAATATAAGCATAAATTGTTTAATGAAAATTCAAATTTAAAAACAATGTTTTAAAGATGACATATGAACACATCTGATTATCCTATTCATTATTTCATTCAATTAATATGCAGAGCATCTACTATGTGTCAGGTAATCTCATGTTTTAGCTTCTTTCAAGTGTTTCAAAAGTCAAAGACTATGGGAATCTTACCAACATGGCCTCCTCCGATGGTGTATGTCTTCCCAGATCCAGTTTGTCCATAGGCAAAAACAGTTACATTATAGCCTTCAATGAGTGATAACACTAGTGGCTTTATGCACGTGTTATAAACTTCGTCTTGAGTGGAACTTTTGCCAAAAACAAAGTCAAAAGTAAAGACTCTATCTCTCCCAATGATAATTTGCTGGGTGTTTGGAATAACTCTCACACAAACTTGATGATTATGAAGAACTTCTTTGCATAGCAGAGGTCTAATTCTTACAGCAACTTTTACTGGTATTTCCTCCATGGCAGCTTAGATTTTGCTAAACAGATTTTCTACTTAACATTCAGTGTCTAGTGTGAGAGCCATCCATTTTACATAAGATCTGGACTCCTGTGTATCAAAATAAAACAAAATTTAATTACTAATTCTATCCTAATAAATAAATTATCGTCTAAAGGAAAGTCAACTAGAGCATGTTCCAACATAAGCTAGTTACAAAAAATAAATCTGTCTTTTAAAGGACATCTATAATTTATAGATGAAATGAATGTCTGGACTTGCTATAAATAATCTAGGGGGTAGAGGCCATGAGTTGGTAAGTGATGAAAACTAAATGATAAACACATGGGATTCCATTGTGCCCTTCTTTCTGTAATGATATTTCCCAGCTCATTAGTTTAAATATTGAATAATTGGGGAGTTAAAAATTTAAATTAAGGAAATAACTGGGTAACTGTACAAGTGTGTTAAAAGCAAATCCTTGCATTGGTTTTATAGCTATATATTTAAAAATAACATCTCCTCATTGCCACAAATATTATAAATAAGTCCATGAAATAATTTTAAGGATTTCCATAAGTCAATATAAATCTATTTTTTATTAAAAAATAATCAAAACTGAAAAACTGCTTTTCTACTCCTAAACTGTTATACTATATAATTTCTGAAGATCTCTAGTGGAATTAATACATTAAAAATTAAACTGGGTCGGGCTGCTGTGGCTCAATGGTTGAGCATTGGCCTATGAACCAAGAGATCATGGTTTGATTCCCAGTCAGGGCACATGCCTGGGTTTTGGGCTCAATCCCCAGTAGGGGGTGTGCAGGAGGCAGCTAACTGATGATTCTTTCTCATCACAAATGTTTCTATATCTCTCCCTCTCCCTCCCTTTCTCCAAAATTAATAAAAATGTATTTTTTAAAAAAAATTAAATTGGTAGCTACACTTACAATGAACCACCCTAAAAAATAAATTAAGAAAACAATTCCAACCCTAGCCCATTTGGCTCAGTGGTTGGAACATCTGCCCAAGAACTGAAGGATTCAGGGTTCGATGCCGGGCAAGGGCATGTATCTAGGTTGTAGGTTTGATCCCTAGTCCTCGTTGGGGAATGCATAGGAGGCAACTAATCCATGTCTCTCACATCAATGTCTCTCTCTCTCTCTCTCTCTCTCTCTCTCTCCCTCTCTCTCTCTCTCTCTCTCTCTCTCTCTCTCTCTCTCCCTCCTCTCTCCTCCTCCTCCTCCTCTTCCTTCTCCTCCTTCTTTTCCTCCTCCTCTTTCTTCTCTTCCTGCCCCTCCTGTTCCTCCTCCTCCTCCTCCTCCTTTCTATTCTGTCTAAAAATCAATGGGAAAAAAATATCCTTGGAAGAAAGCAGCAACAATATCCTTAAAGATTAGCAACAACAAAAAGAAGATAATTCCATTTACAATAGCATTAAAGGAATAAAATACTTAGGAATAAAATTTTTAAAAAGATGTGTAAAACTGATACTTTGAAAAATACAAAATACTGTTTGAAGAAAGAAGACCTAAATAAATGGAAAACCATCTCGTGTTCATGGACTGCAAGACATTGTTGAGATGACAATGCAATATTCCCCAAACCAATCTAAAGATTCAACACAAGTCCTATCAGAATCCCAGCTGACTTCTCTGTAGAAGTTGACAAATTCATCCAAAAATTCATATGGAAATTTGAGGAACACAAAATACCAAAAACTGTAGTGAAAAAGAACAAAATTGGAGGACACACATCCCCAATTTTAAAATCAAGCAATAGTAATCAAGACAGTGTGGTATGGGCATAGCCAGCCTTAAAGATCAATGGAAAAGGAACTGAGAATCCAGAAATAAATCATCACATTTATAGGCAATTAATTTTCAACAGACCAAGACAATTCAATGGGGGAAAAGTCTTTTCAACAAATGGTCATGTACAACTGGATATCCACCCTCCAGATGACCTCCTATCTCACATACACCAAAGTTAATTCAAAATGATTCATGGACCTAAATGTAAGATCAAAACTATAAAATTCATAAAAAAAAAAAAAACATGGGGGTAACTCTTGGCTAACCTTAGATTTGGCAATGGTTGTTCAGATATAACACCAAAAGAGGAATAAGCAATAAAATGAAAAAATAGGTAAAATGCACTTAATCAAATGCAAAAGTTTTTAGCCTCAAAAGACACTATCAGCCGAAACCGGTTTGGCTCAGTGGATAGAGTGTCGGCCTGCGGACTGAAAGGTCCCGGGTTCGATTCCGGTCAAGGGCATGTACCTTAGTTGCGGGCACATCCCCATTGGGGGTAGGAGGCAGCTGATCGAGATGTTTCTAGCTTTCTATCCCTCTCTCTTCCTCTCTGTAAAAACTCAATAAAATATATTAATTAAAAAAAAAAAAAAAAGACACTATCAGCCCTAGCTGGTTTGGCTCAGTGGATAGAGTACTGGCTTGTGGACTGAAAGGTCTCAGGTTAGATTCTGGTCAAGGAAACATGAGCCAGTTGCAGGTCCAATCCCCAATCCTGGATGTTTCTAACTCTCTCTCCCTCTCCCTGCCTCTCTGAAATCAATAAAAATGTATTTTTTTTAAAAAACACAAAACTTATAGTTCTTTGTAGGATAAAAAGTTTAAAAATTTAACAAGCAATCTATGATAAAGTTTAGTGTAGGTGATGAAAAATAATCAGTTTGGGAGAAGGCAAGTCAATATCATTAAGTAATCTGGTACACTAATGAATAAAAGTAACACCTGCTTGCTACAGAAATGTTAATTAAGACATATTTAATGTTCACTAGCCTAAAAAAACTCTGCAGCTATAACTATGCATTTATAACTTTGTGAGTGGATAGTCTAAAAAGGATCACAATAACAAAAAACATTTACATCACTTCACTAAGAGCCCACAGAGAGTAAAAAAGTGTCAGCTCCCTTGGACATTAAATCCCAAAATAGTTAGCAAACTATCTTTAATGGCCAAAAAGATGCATCTAACCTTGTTAGTTTTATTCATTCTACTAAATGAATGAACAAATAAATACTCATATGTATTTTTCCAAGGATCCTAAAGGACTCTACAATCATCTGCTGCTAGAAACGTTTCCAAAGAAATTGCAGAGATGCAGTGTTGACTTGGTTCTTCCAAATGTCTTCAAACATCTACATTAGAAGTTTCATCATACAGATTAGTTGTGTGTGTTTTTTTTGTTTTTTGTTTGTTGTTTTTTTAAATATATTTTATTGATTTTTTTACAGAGAGGAAGCGAGAGAGATAAAGAGACAGAAACGTCGATGAGAGAGAAACATCGACCAGCCGCCTCCTGCACACCCCCCACCGGGGATGTGCCCGCAACCAACATACATGCCCTGACCGGAATCGAACCTGGGACCTTTCAGTCTGCAGACCGACGCTCTACCACTGAGCCAAACCGGTTTCGGCTAGTTGTGTTTTTTTATGCTATCACATTAAAACAAGTCATGGTCTGTGTTAAGCCAAGACTAACTTACTTCCAACAAAGTTACTAATAAAAAGTACTAAGTATAATTGGGATATTTTCATTTTCTTGGGTTCAACTCCCTCCCTGCGCAATGAACATATATTTTTAATGAATATATTTATTTCATAAGACAGCCATTAAAGCAAATTAACTAAGTGGTGATATATTTTCAAGCGATGCAAGACACACACATACAAAAAAAATTTTGTTTTAGGCTGATGCAAGAAGGTATGTGTTTCTCAATCTGATAAAGGGAGTGGGTTTAGACAAAGTGAAAATCAATAAGTATTTCTTTCTCAAAGTAAATGTGCATAAAAATAAATGTGCATAAAGACTCAAAGGGCAGATGAGAAAAGAAAAGCAGTCTTGAATCCCTGTGGAATCAGCAGGAACATTGCTGTCCATGGTTACCAGCTCTAATCAGTATGCTCGAATGTCAGCATCTTTGCTGGCTAGTGTAGTCTTATTGTTTTATCTTTGGTAACAGCATACTTGTGTTTCACATGGAATGTTGATTTAAATCAATGATGAGTAAGTTCTACTTCTTTTTCAGAAAGTTCTGAATTCTTCCTTTCAAACAGTTTTTGTTTTGTTGCTTTTGTTATTAGTTCTTTCCTTCTCTGCATTTCTCTTTTTAAGAAACTTGACCCAGCCAAAACTGGTTTGGCTCAGTGGATAGAGCGTCAGTCTGCAGACTGAAAGGTCCTGGGTTCTATTCCGGTCAAGGGCATGTACATTGGTTGCGGGCACATCCCCGGTGAGGGGTGTGCAGGAGGCGGCTGGTCGATGTTTCTCTCTCATTGATATTTCTAACTTTCTATCCCTCTCCCTTCCTCTCTGTGAAAAAAATCAATATATATATATATATATATATATATATATATATATATATAATTTTAATAAAAATTAAAAAGAAAAAGAAAAAGAACTTGATCCATAGGAGATACCATGAGATTTTCAAACCTTCCACTGCCTTCCAAAACCTGTGTAATACTTAAACTTGGCATATTTCCACAATTTCTTCTGATTTCTTAACTTTAGATAGTAACAGTATTAATTTTTTCAAAGTGGTTAGAGATGTAAATACTTCTCCATTTTTTCATTTCTTTACAATGACAATACATATTATCAACCATACTGTCTTTTGGAATTTCACTTTTTCTCATTCCCACTGAGTACTAGGAGAAAGGACTAAGAAATGTGCAAACCTGTAGAGAATTTTTATAAATGTATATTTGAATGAGATAGGCAGCATAATCTTAAAATGCTCCCCTTGTTTTTTTTGTTGTTGTTGTTTTTGTTTTTTATAGGAATTTATCTACAAAGTCTAGGACCCATAAACATATGGCTTGCAAAAAAGTTAATATATATAAATTTATTTAAAAACCCACGGCACTGCCATAACTGGTTTGACTCAGTGGATAAAGTGTAGGCCTGAGGACTGAAAGGTCCCAGGTTCCATTCCCAGTGGAAGGTGTGCAGGAGGTGGCTGATGGTTATTTCTCTCTCATCCATGTTT